GACGGGCCGTGGCCACCCCCCCCCGCCTCCCCATGCCACCCTACAAGGATGGATCCACCCTCCCCACCGCGCTGTGCCTCGCCAAGGAGATGCTCTGCCAGGGCCTGGGCTCATCCCCAGGGAGCTGCCAGCGGGGTGAGGAGGGTGGCTTTGGGGTGTCCTCCCCCCACCACAGAGCGGCCGGAGGGAGCCCGGGCAGGTACCTGCATCATGGCGATCTCGTTGGTCATTAACCCGTAGCGGACCACAACGTTGCACTCGGGGATATCCAAACCCTCCTCAGCCACGCTGGTGGAGAAGAGCAGGTTGAGGACTCCCTCGCGGAACAGCTTGATCACGTCCTGCTGCTTGTTCTGGGGGGAGAGGGGGTGATGCTTCAGCAGCTGCGGGGGGCTCCGAGCCCCTGGCAGCACCTGCAAAGTGTGCAGGGAGGGGTAGGCCCAGCTCCTTCCCACCCTCTGCTCACCTGCGTCATGTGCCTGGTTTGGTTGCTGTAGCCAGCGCCGGTGAGGACGGCAGGCCTGATGTGCTTCCCGCGGAGCGCGGCTGTGTCCTGCAGCCAGCTGAGCAGGCTGTGGGCGCTCTGCCGGGTCTTGGTGAAGATGATGCCGCGCGAAGTGCCCTGGGGCTGGAAGTGCTCCTGCAGGATCTCCTCCAGCTTGCCCAGCCTGGGGTTCTCATAGCGCCGGTCCCCAGCAAGCGCCTGCAGGCTCATCTTGTTCTCTGTGCAGGTAAGTGGGGTGTCAGGGGGGGTCCCTGCCCCCCCAAACGCAGCTGGCACCAACCCTCCAGGCCCCTCCATTACCCTCAAACATGGTGGTGAGGAACCGTTCGGTGGGGTCCTTCATGTCCCTCTCAGTGGCGTAGAACTGCTGGAGGCACTGGAAGGCGTCGATCATCCGCACCGTGTCATTGATCAGCAAAGCGTCGTTGTATTTGCGCAGGTGCAGCGCACACACCCGCGTCTTGCGACAAAACGTCTCTGCCGCTGGTGAGGGATGGGGCACACCGTGGTCACAGCCTGGCCCCGTGGCTGCCGGCTCTGCCCCTCCACACCCGCACTGTCACCTCCTCACCTCTCTTCTCCAGCTCCACGATGCGCTGCTCGTAAATCTGCGTGCCGAAGTTCTGTGGCAGGTCGGGCATCTCCATGTACTGCTGGATCCGCTCCATCACCTTCTTCAGCCGCTCACCGAAGGGGTCCTGGGAGCAGAGAGGGGCTCAGAACCCGAGGAATCGGGGACATTGCTCCGGGCAGCCTCAGAGGTGCAGCCCGGAGCGCCTGGCCAGGGTTAGGGGCTGTTTGCACAGAGGACCCGGACGGTTGCGGGATTCCCTTGCACCAAAGCTCTGGATCGAGTGATTCTTCGCACTGGCATGAGCTAAGTGGATGGAGGGACACAGCCCCCCCCGACTCAGCAGGGCTCGGGGGGTCTCATCTTCCACCCAGCGAGCAGCCCTGTGGCTCTGACCGGCTGCCCCTCACCTGTGCTCTCTCCTGGCACAGGTCATACTGCCTGGGGGGCGTGGGTCTGCAGGTGCTGCAGCTCCTCCTGCGCCGACATGATTTTCTCGGTGTCCAGGTTGGCACAGATCTGAGAGGGCGAGACCCCGCTTCCCGCACTCAGCCCCGGCAGCCCAGGGGGACGCGAAGCACGGTGCTCGCTGGCACCCCGGCGAGTTTGGGGACGTCTCCCCCAGGCTGCCCAGCACCTGCACGCCAGATTATCAACCCCCAACCCCAAGGGACACCCCACTACAACCCAGGAGAAGGTGTGCCAGGGGCCGTTGTACTCTGTCTCGGTGCAGGACGGGGGGCACAGGACCCACCTGCAGGATGTGCTCTATGGCCCCCATGAAGGAGGTTGCCCCCCCAGTGCCAGGCGATGCTGTCAGGCCCAGGATCTGTGGCAGGCCCTGCTGCCCGCTGAGCTTGCGCTGGAGGTAATTCAGCATGATTTTGTTGTAGACGGCTTCCTTGTGCGTGTGGTGGCACTCGTCTATCACCAGCAGTGAGAAATCTGTCCCGGACAAGGGAGGGGAGTGGGCTCAGCTGCATGAGAGCCGCTGGGCAGCAGCGGAGGCTCAGCCGGGGCAGTCCCACCCCAGCCCAGCTGTGGGGAGAGCAGCACTGGGGGTCCCGCACCCACCCGTCAGCTCCACGTGCGTGTCCTCCTCCCCGCTGACCAGTGCATTCTGCAGGATCTGGGCCGTGCAGATGACAACGTCGCT